CTTGTTGGGCCGAAGGGCCTGTTTCCACACTGTAGGGATTCTATGATCTATAATCTATGATTAGAGTGTGGCAAATGTATCTCCATTATTTATTGAGAGTGGAGTCGAAAAAACAGAGAATTATGGCGCAGTTCGTCTAACATCAGTGATGGGGAAAATGGTAGAACGATTATAAATGATGTGATAACAGAACATTTGGAAAGCATTAATTGGATGTCAGCAGGGGTTTAAGAAAGGAAAGTCACACTTAACAGATCTACTGGAGGTTTGCAAGGATGTAACCAGTAGACTAGATAAGGGAGAAGCAGGAGATGGATTTTATGAAGGCCTTTCAATTCTGGTCCCCCTGCTATAGGAAAGAGGTGAAACTTGAAAGGATTTACAAGTATTTTGCCGGGGTCGGAGGGTGTGAGCTATAGGGAGAGGCTGAATGGTCTGGGGCTATTTTCCTTGGAGCGTCGGAGGCTGAGGGGTGACCTTATAGAGGTTTATAAAATCATGAGGGGCATGGAAAGGGTGAATAGACAAGGTGTTTTCCCTGGGGTAGGGGGTAGTCCAAAACTAGAGGGCATAGGTTTAAGGTGAGAGGGGAAAGATTTAAAAGGAGAAACTTTTCACGCAGAGGGTGGTGCGTGTATGGAATGAGCTGCCAGAGGAAGTGGTGGAGGCTGGTACAATTACAGCATTTAAAAAGCATCTGGATGGGGATATGAATAGGAAGGCTTTAGAGGGACATGGGCCAAATGCTGGCAAATGGGACTAGATTAATATAGAATATCTGGTTGGCATGGGCGAGTTGGACGGAAGGGTCTGTTTCTGTGCTGTACAGCTCTATGACTCGATAACTTTGATAAGGCCCCTCATAAGAGATTTGGAGCAAATTTAAAGAACATGGGATAGACGGTAATGTATTATGGACTTGAAAACTGGTTGACAGACAGAAAACAAAGTGAAGGAATAAATGCAGGGATAGTAAGAACTGCAGATGCTGGAGTCAGAGATAATACAGCGTGGAGCTGGATGAACACAGCAGGCCAGGCAGCATCAGAGGAGCAGGAAAGTTGACATTTCAGGTTCGGATCCTTCTTCTGTAGGGTAGGAATAAATGCATCTTTTAGCAGGTTGCAGGCAGCAATGGGTGCTTTACCTTTATTGCTTTGATTGGCCAGGGAATTGAGTACAAGAGTCAGGATGTCATATGCAGCTTTAAAAGACTTTGGTTAGGCTGCACTCAGAGTATTGTGTTCAATTCTGGTTGCCAAGTTACAGGAAGGATGTGGAGGCTTTGGAGAGGGTGCAGAAGGGGTTTACCAGGATGCTGCCTGGATTAGAGGGTATAAGGAGAGGCTAGAAAAACTCATTTTCTCTGGAGCAGCGAAGGTTGAGGGGAGACTTGATAGAAGTTTATAAAATTATGAGATGCACAGATAGGTTTGAGGGTCAGAATCTTTTTCCAAGAGTTGAAGTGTCTAATACTAGGAGGGGCATGCATTTTAGGTGAGAGGGGGGTTAAGTTCAAGGGGATGTGGGGGGGCAAGTCTTTTACACAGAGAGTGGTAGGAGTGTGGAATGCACTGCCAGGGGGTGATGGAGGCAGATATGATAGGGGTATTTAAGGGGCTTTTAGATAAGCACATGAATATGCGAGGGATGGAGGGATATGGACCAAGGGCAGGCAGAAGGGATTAGTTTAATTTGGCACAATATGGTGGACCGAAGGGCCTTGTTCCTGAGCTGTGTATTTCAATGTACCTCAAAAATTAGTCCTTGTGCCCCAGCTATTCGCGGGGTATAATAATGGGCCTCGATGAGGGATCTAAACACAACGTTCCTGAGTTTGCTGAGGGCGCGAGACTGGGTGGAACTGCGAGGGGGGACGCAAGGCGATTTCGGATGAGTCGAGTGAGTCAGCAAATAAGTGGCAGATGCGCGATAATGTGGCTAAGTGTGAAGTGAAACGCTTTTGGTGACACATTTGGTGACAGTGTGTCCCGCTCAATGAAAACAGACAGGTTGGTGCAGCAAGCGATTAGCGAGGTATATTGGCCCTGACTGTGAAGGATTTGAGTTCAGAAGTAGGGATGTCTTTACTGCAGTTGTATAGCGCCTTGGTGAGACCATGCCTGGAGTACTGAGGGCAGTGCTGCCCTCCCTACCTTCGAGGGTGTATCCTTCTCGTTGAGGGAGACGCAGCAGCATTTCACTCGGCTGATGCTGGGGGAAGGTAGGATTGTTCTCTGAAGAAAATTTGGTTCACTATAATTGACAAAAACGAGAGGGAATCGGAGCGAAATGGATAAAATTCGAACAGGGTTGTCAGACAGACAGGGATGACGTAGGACCGGGGGGACAGAGGGGAGAAGTGAGGTGAGGAAAGATTTCATCGCTCAGAGTGTGACCATAACCACAGAAGACTGTAGGGGCCAAGTCACTGAATATAGAATTTCATCAAACGGTATCTTTAGAGTGTGGGAAGCAGGCCATTCAGCCCATTGTGTCCACACTGACCCCCCAAAGAGCATCCTACCCAGACCCACCCTCCCCATCTTAACTCTGAATTTCCCACGGCCAATCCACCCTAACCTGCACATCCCTGGGCACTATGGGACAATTTAGCACGGCCAATCCACCCTAACCTGCACATCCCTGGGCACTGTGGGACAATTTAGCACGGCCAATCCACCCTAACCTGCACATCCCTGG